CTATTATCCCTCACAATATTACTATGGAAATGTATTAAAAATTCTTATTTAAAAAATAATAAATTTTAAAAATATTCTTATTATGTTAAGGTACTCTAAAGTGAGATACAATTTTCTGATATAAGAGTCCAATTTATTATTGTCGAGTCTAACAGTTCGCTATTCCACCTCTTAACTACAATGTTTTTTTGAGGAACCAATTCACAATAGATAATTTAGAACTCAGCTAACTAATCAAATAATACATTAATCACAAAAAGGAAATATTTAACAAGATTTTTCTAAAAATTCATTGTTTGTTAATGAGTTTAACTACTATCTTCACAAGGTACTTTCTTTCCATTCTTCATATCAAAGTTGAGTTACCCACTTGGATTAGGGTGTCCCACTAACGTTGCCTTTGCTGTTGCCAGTGTCGCCATCACCATCGCCATCGTAGTCATCGCAGCCAGCTGCCTCTGCCCTGCCACGCCCCCTCCACAGCCCTCGCCCCAAGTCGCCGAGTCTCCATAGAAGTCTCTGGTTCTTCTGTCCCTGGTCCTACGCTTTTGCCAACGCATTTTTGTTTTGTTTAGAGCGCAAGTTATGCGGGCGCCAAGGAGGAGAAATCGAGAACCGAGAGCCATGAGGAGATGCAGATGGGGGGAGGGGGCAGATGGGGAATGCCTCTTGGTACTCGACACATGCCGACAGGTATCGAAAATGTTACCCAAAATGCAGCTCAGCGCGTTCGCAGGGAAAAATAGAGGACACACACTGTGAAACGGAAGAATTGAAGCTGGCGGCAAAAGTTTGTAGGCAAAGTTGTTCTTTAAGCTGACTTCACCTGACGTCAGACAGCACGCCGGAAGAGGCAGCCGAGCAATCACACCACCCCAAAACGCCCCGGTCTCGGTCCCAGCGCAAGTCCAGGTCCACCCCCTAAGGCCACCCCCACCCACCCGGGGTTTTTCCCCGGCACACGCACCTTTACACATTTTTCCACTTCCCTTTCATTCCTCCGCTGGGCTCGGGACTCCGGCTCTCGGGCCAAATGAAAAATTGCACACGCGGGAATTTGATTTTAACATGAGAAATAAACACAATGAAGCTGACGGCCCAAACGGGCAGGACAAGGCGCTTCGAGGGGGGTCCGAGGGGCTGCCAAGGACCCGAGGGGGTGATGGTGACACTGCGATTGTCGTACATTCTTCGCTCTTCGAGGAACTTTAATTTTCAACTTTAATTAAGGCAAGAAGCGTATGCCACACTTGCTCCACAATTTATGGCTTAACCTGGTTCTTTAAAAGCGGGCTAAAATGGTAAAATGCATTTAAGCTTAGTATACTGCAGCTGAAAGACAGTTGTATAAAAAAAGGTTCACGAAATAATGTGAAAACCTAATTCAAATGGAAAAGTTATTGAAGACCAACAATATGTTACGAATTTAAACAAAAGAAATGTACTTAAACCTAATTTGAAATTATTCAATGAACCTTTTTTGTATTTCTTGTATAAATCTCTGATGAAATTGATTAGAGAAATATAGTAAATATTTTAAACAGATTATTTACAGTTCGGGAATTCGATAAAAAAGTTTGAAAAATAATGGACATTTTCATAAATAGTACAAGTAAAAAGCGGTTTTTTGAGCAGGTGTTGTTATTGATAATACACATTCGAAAGACTCTAAGTACTGGATTAAAGAATTTTTAATTATCCTATGGTTCCGAAAACGAAATTTCAATTAGTAGTGATTTACTTGACAGACAGTAATGGGTGACGAATAATAATTTCTTGGTGCATAAAATTCGACGTGCTGTGGCACATTTGAAACAGATAAGCGGCAGCGAATTTTCCTATTCCAGCACAGTTTTCCATCTCCTTCCCCAGCGCCCTTCCTTCCAATCCTTTTGGCAGCCACCCCTTTTGGATAGATGGTGTTTTACGTTGGTCGCATTCCTTGCCTAATGCTGGAATTTCAATTTTAAAGACTAACTTGATTACCACGAGGGGTGAGGCACATGGAGGGTAGTTCCCCATTGTCTCTCGCATGAGTTGGCCCAAAGTTACTCGCAAGGATCAAAGTGACATAAGTTTGCCGTTTGCTACCAGCTTCGGATTCCGAATCGGCTTTAGCTTTAGCTTCATCTTCATTTTCATCTTCGGCTCCAATTTATTTAATGCCTGCAAAAGTTTTTAATGTAATTAAAATGGCTAAAGCCTAAAGAGTGTTTAAAACTGGGAGCTATCGCAGCTTTAAGGGGATTCCCCCCCTCTCCACTCTTTTTGTTATCTAACACCCACCCACACACTCACACACACGTAGAGATTCAGACACACGTGCGCGTTGTGCCATAAAGTGCTCAAGTTACTTGCTGGGATTACCAGACCCACATTCTGCGCCACCCCCCTAATCCTCCACCCCCACTTCTTTTGCAGGCGATCCTCGCACCGGACCACGCGGCGTATGCGTCATGCGAAAGCAATGCCCAGCAGCAGCAAGGAGTTTTAACATTTTCCAAATGCTGCAACGTTGATTTTCTTTTTTCTCGCTCCTCCGAGCAAAACGAGAATTTCCAACTACACACAAGGACGGAGGACGTGGGACGAAGGACGCAGGACGAAAGACCGGTTGGGTGGCACAGGATGTGCGGACGGTCGCACAGATGAGGCGGAAGCACGGACAAACAAACGGATAAGAAGGCGGAGGGCCACGAAGGACGAATGGCAAAAGGACGAGGACACGGAGGAGCTGGAGCTGGCGCTGGAGCCAAAGAACGAAGCGCACATGGAAGATAAGCGCACAGAGTGTGGCGCTGATAACGCAGGTCCTGCTGCCTGTGGGGCAAACTAGAGGGGTGGAAAATGTGAGGGGGGAGTATGTCGTGCGGCGTGGTGGGAGGTCCTGTGAATTTTAACATTTTAGAGAAAATACGAACGAGAGAATTTCGAACGCCGAGCTAGAAGTCTGAAGCGAATTGCGCGAGGGCTGTGAATGGGTATGAGATGTGGGTGAAATTGTGTGCGTCTGTATGTGAGTACAGTCATGCTTTCCTACACCGACTTTTGTTTAGGTTAATTAAAGTCAAATTAATATTAAGGAAAACTAACTAAGCTTATTGTTTGTTATTTGTATGTCAAAAAATGAAACGTCTTTATAACTTGCAGATTAGTATTACACTTAACTTAGACTAAACATACGACTAAATATATACAGAATAAATAAATTTGTTCTTCTTAAAGTAATTGTTGTACAAATAAACAAAATAATATTTCCAAAGCTTTAAGCTTTTATTTAATAAGAAAACTATAGCAGGGAATACATTTGGTGAAAAATATTTGACTTTTCAAAAAAATCTATTTGCCGAAATTGTAACTTTACAGTAACTTTAGTTTTACAAAAACTTTTGTATTGCCTACACAACTGCCTATAAACCATTTTCAGAGAAAAGTTAAAAAAGGGAATCACTTAGTTATTAATAAATAGTCAACTAATTTTAAAAACCTTATTTTAGTGTTTTATGAAAGGTTTATTGTTAAAATTAAAACATATTGAACATTAAACGGGGGTTTTTTTTCAATAAAGAAATTTCGGAAAGGTAGAAATCTACCCATATATGAGTTTTAAATGAGACAGATGGCGATTCGAGTTAGGGAAGTTGGACTGTGGCAGCATAGCTGGAACGAAACAATTTGTAATTTATTTGCAAAGCGTGCGATGTGCTCCGGCTCTGTGCGAAAAGTTGAGGCAGCTGCCAAAGGCGTAGCCATCGACCAGAGACAGTGGCTCCGGCTCCAGCTTCAGCTTCAGCACCAGCTCCTGTTCCCATTTTCCGTGCATCTGAAACCGAAACCCTGGTCTGATCTGGGGCCCGAAAACTCGAGGCTGGGAGCACGCGTAAGCAGATACCCAGATACAGATACAGATGGTGCCCCCCTTCCCGTCCGGAACACACAGCAAAGCACACACACACACACATAGCGATGGGGGAGGGGGAGGGTAAGGCGACGCGTGGGTGGTCCTGGGTCCTGGGGAAACGGTGGATGTACTGGCATTCACGCAGGGTGGTTCTCCCTGCTCCCTTGCTCTTTAAAGACCTTTAAACTTTAAGCCGAATGTCAGCCATAAAAAGAATCAAAAATAAAACATGGCAGCAAAAGTTTAGCAAGTCGGATAAGCTCAAATAAAAAATATTAAACTGAAATCTTAAAGACAGGAGACGACAGCGATTTGGATTAGCATTTTCGAAATTTATTTAATGTATTTTATAATGCTTTAAAAGTTTATGCTTTACAATTGGAATTCAAGTTTTAACTATCCGTGTGTTCTTGTGTGAGTGCGGCTTTAATTGCTTTTGTTTAATTTTTGTCTTTGTTGTTGCTGTTGATTAATGCTCAACTGGCCAAGCATTTGGAATACAAACTGTTCATATTAATTGTAAATGTTTACGATAATCCAAGTTGAAGTTTGTCTATTGGAAGTTACTCTTTGACTACAGTCGGCAGTTTTGAGGAGTGTGTGTGAGTGTTTTTGTGTGGCTAAATAATCTATCTCAAAATACAAATATCAAGCACTTTATAAACCATTATATCCGTTATCCAATATTAAATACAATCGTTCATATCAAAATTCTTTTTTTTTCATTGTTTGTTTGCTAAGTAATTATTGCTATGGTGGAAGAGCGTTTAAGCTCTGCTAAGTACAAAATTCTCTTCTTGCGAGTTGGAGTATTCGTCTATTGTTTGCTGGGAGGATCTCCAGGGTGAAAATCAAATGAAAATCGGGCTCGGGCTGGGTGCGTCAGTGGGCGTCTATATATCTGGTTGGTAACGCTTAATCAGTCTTGTATACAAAAATAATTAAAATTAGCAAATTGTCTACAACCAAGCTACGTGGCTCTCTCCACCCTACTCTTCGTTGTCAAGCATTATCTAGTCAAAAAAAAGGATAGTTTATAATAGTTACACAAACCATTGGAGATGGGCGCTGCTAGTGGAACATTGAGATTAGCTTGCACTTAGTTAAACCATATTTTAATTGGACACTTACAAAACAAATGATATCTTTGTTGAACATGTACACGGCGGTTATACATAGTTGCCTTTTCATCAATAAATTAGGAATTAGAGTAGCAGAATTAAATTACAACTAAAATTACGATACGAGACAGAGATATTCAGGGAACTCATGCATCGCTATATACAGGGTTTAGCGCATTTAAAGATTGGATTTGGAGAGCGTCGTGTAAATGCAATCGACTCGCCGTCGCTTCGCTTTGCTTCGCCATCTTGGCCTGGGCTGGAAGTCATGAACTTGTGGGGCGTGGCTTTCTGGGGCTTTAAACGTGGCCTAATACTTGGTAACTTAAACGGATTTCGATTTACAATTGTTATCGCCAGGGGCCTAACACTTAGAATTTACAACTTGTAACAGGGGACCGGGAACCGTGGCGTAGAATATCGTGGAGCTGGGCGTGGGGGCCTGGAGTCCTCCGCCCCCTCTAACTCCGGCTGTCGTTGCTCTCGCTGAAGCTCTGCTCGCTGGACTCGCGCCGGCTGCTCACCGGCTTGGCCTTGTACTCTGTGATGAACACGGTCACCGAGTTGACCGTCACCTCGCGCGTCTGCGCCGTCGACCGGTCCACGTTCTTCAACCGGGCCGGGTACCGCTTGTGCCGCTGCCGGTCGTGCCCGCTGCCATGCCGCGATCCGGAGGCGGACTTCCCGTTGGGCATGTTGGCGCTGGCGCCCGGCAAAGTGGCGGCCTGCTGTGCGACTAGCGCTGAGTTCAGGCGCGGCTTGCGCGTGGAGGTTCCTGGGGACAAAAGGTTCATAATGTTAGTGAGTGACCCAGTAATTTCACATTAGTCAGACGTGTTTCGGTTTTCACTTTTACGCAACTGGCTCGAATTCGGTTAAACCTTGATGCATTACGCATTATTTATATGTCTGAATAAACTCTAGTTTAGCTAACTTAAAATATTATTTCAATTTAAAAGGTTAATTAAATTAAACCACATTTTTTTAATAAATTTGTTTTATGGCTAATATTCTTCTATATCTTGAATAATCTTAGTCTATTAAGATATTTTTAAAATAAAAAGCAATATAAATAATTACAACTGCAAGATACAAATTTGAAGTTAATATTATCTTTCAGATTGTATCAGAAATTTGAGCTTAAAATAGTGTACAATTTTTAAATCAGTCAATAATTAGTTTTTTAATAATACATTTGTTCATGATCCATATTATTTTTATTTATTATATAAATGTTTCTTAACCAAATTGTTTGAGCGAATTAAGTCCAAAAGTAAAATCGATTTGTTATTTGTATTGTTTTTGTATTGTGACAAATAATTTTAGATAAGCCTCAGCAACCATTAAATATAAATTTTAGTAGTAATATTATTTATGATGACTAATTGATAATCTGACTAATCTTCACAAGTATTAGTAAGCTCGATTGTTTTTTATGGTTTACTACTTTTTGTTTTGCCTTAGTAATGTATCTACTAGATACATCTACTACTGATGTTTACATGAATCACAATTTGTGTCCTGGCAGATAGCTCTATATAAAGCCATTCAAAAACAGTTCAATAGCCGAGTTGAGAAAACGAAAACCGGAACGCGTCGGGCAATCTTGGGAATCGGGCGATTCGGGAACCGGGGGAATCGGGAATCTGAAATCGGGGTCACTCACCTTTCCGCACGTCGCACATGCGACACTTGAAGGCCTCCGCCGAGTTTCTATACGTGCAGACGCTGCAATCCCAAAAGTTCTCCTCGATCACCTTCGCCTGCCGCTTTTGTCGTCGCACCGGCGAGGATTTCTTGTCCATAATAGAGGGAAACCAACCTGGCTGGCTGGTAAAACAATCCGACGAATTGCAGCTGAAAATGCCCGACTTTTCCCTCTGCCGCCGCCTCTGCTCGCCCCTGCTGCGCTGCAACTGCGCTGCTTGGGTGCTCTGCTCTCTCTCTGCTCCTCGGCCTGTTTTGTTGTTGTGCGCCCACTTTTGCCACGCCCTCGCACACACACACGCACAACGGTGGCTCAGTGGAGATTCGCTGCGCTTTTGGCACGCATTTGTTGTTTAATTCAAGGGTTTTCGGTGGCTTTTTGTTGTGAAAAAAACTTTCTGCAATTGTCTTTTTGGCTGCGGCAGCAATGCCATATCGCGGAATTGCTCAATACGGTGTTATCGATATATCGATTGAATGGGGAAAACAGTGTTGGCAAGCGTTGATTTCTATGCGTTCTGGCAACGCTTCTGCCCACTTGGGCGCCAAAGTTATTATAATTTGAAACTACTTGTCATTTGTTTTTGTTTGCTTTTTATTGTCAAGCCAAGCGAAGATTCCGCCCACGCTATTATTTTTTTAGCCAGCCAAAGGCCAGCTGCTTCAGCAACAATGGGAAGGTAAGCGGTTTTGCCTATGTTTATTATAGTGTTTATCGCTTTAGTGGAAGTGGGAAATCTTTTAACTTATTTTTAGCCACCTCAAATACTCTTAACTAATTGATGACCATTTTCTGCTTCCCTTTAGTTTATCTTTAACGCTTTGCGTCTTAGCCATTGGCTTCTGTACAACCTTAATTTATTCGCAGACAAACATCAGCTGATTTGTGTTTGCATATAACTTCCAACGGTTATATCTCTTTTTATCCGTCTTTTTAGATCACATCTTATCGCAGTCTTATCTTCAGTTCATTCCTTTTGGATTGTAGGCTCCCAGGAAGGTGTTACATTTGCGACAATAGTGGTTTCCTGTGCGACAACTATTCATGCAATAGGGGACGAAACAAGCGCAACAGCAAAAACTGAAACATTTAAAAACAAAAATAAATCTTTAATATTACTATTGAACATATATAATTCCGTTACCCCTAAAAATACTTTCCAGACTTCTTTAAGGATTTAATTTATATATATTTTAAATTTTAGTTTTTTAGAATTTTCTGCATTAATAATGAATTTACAATTTTGAATATAAACTTGAACCAACTGTAATATATAAGAATTTAATAGATATTATTAAATGTTGTGTAAGTTTTTCTATATTGTGAGTTTCTCGGCTTGAGTAATTTAGGAGGAACTACATTGAAATACATTCAGTTGTTTGAAATAAAACGAAGTGTGAAAAAAATATGTCTATATATATAAATGTAAGACTTTAAAAATATCTACCCCGATTTGTTAACTATTTACGTATAATTTCTAATATTGTTTCAGAGGAACCTAACTTACCCCACTAAGCAGAGAAGACCTGCAACCATATGCGTCCTAGAATTAGCTGTGTGAGTCATCCTCGTGGTTTTGTGGGCACCACAGGCGGGGCAGAGGACCCTACTTCGATTTGGACCGAGATTCAGGGCATCTGCAATATCAGAAGTGACGTCAGCAGAGCTTCATACTCGAATTACTAGCAAACTACCAACCGATCGGAACCACAGTAGGTGGCTGCAATGCTGGCTGCTCGACAACAACCACTGGCGGCAGTGATGGGGCAATCGCTGGTGCGGAAACCACCGGAACCACTGGAACCGAGATGGCCATGTCGTACGATGGAGGTGCCTCCACGTGCAGACTCATGGGATTGGCCAAATCCCTCGTTGGCGTCGGCGAGGGGGCACTCGGGGTGTTGAAATCCACTTGCGGATACAGCATGGCTCGCTTCTGGTCCATATTTAAAACAAAACACTATCAAACCCGAGTTCGAGTGCGAAGTTCAGCTGCTTTTTTTCTTGACAATGAGTAAGAGATTCCGGTTCCACGTTCAGCCGATGGAGTGGTTTTGTTTACTTTGCGTATTTACTACTAGACGGCGTCTTTTGCACTTCGCTCGGCGCTCGCAACTGCCAGTAAATTCGGATCCAGGTAAAGATTCAGTTTCGGAATCGCAATTCAAGTTGTTGGCTCAGATCGGAGCGAGCTTGAAAAAGCTTTCAGCCGATTGAGCAATCTTTTTTGGGCTGTTGCAAAACCGAAAGTATCTCTCGAAATGTGTTTACCGAGCTTTATCTAATGCACACAGTGAATATCACTGTTTATCTAACTTATCTCTCGTAGGAGAATAGGATGTCCGATAAACATTCATATATATGCAGATACAAAAATGTCGGTAATTAAGTAAGCTTTGGGTAAGTAAATAAAAAAGTTATCAAACGCTCTAGATCGTAGTATTAAAAATACTCCAAAAAGCGACGCAATTAAATAATAAAATATAAGTGCGGCTAATTAGTGCAATATTATTTTTGTATTATTTAATTGCAACGCTTTATGGAGTATCATTAAAATAGTTAGAGTTGCACATTTTTTTATATTACGATCAAAATTGCTTAATAATTTTTAAACATTATTCTTATTTTAAGAACGAGTTTCACTTTTGCCATTTTTCAGTTTACTTCTAAAAGATTAAATTAGCAAATAATAATGATTTTATATATTTTTTATATGTAGTTTATTTTTTTTAGATATTTGGTTTATAATTGCAAAATTTAATTATAAATAAATGAGTTCGTTACTAAATCTTGTGGTTGATTAAATTTACTTTGCATATATTTTTTCAATTAAACTCTCTCACAAATTAAAGCTTTTGAAATACCAGTTTAAATGTGAAATACTTGATGTTGGTTCAGTTTGCTTGTTGCAGACCTTTTATTAACTAATTACTTGAAGAAAATGTGTATACATGAAAGGAGCGGTTAGACGAAAATTCCTCAGTTGCTCACTTGCGATCGTAGGTGCCCAAATAACGATCGCACATGCCACAGTAATGATTCGTGTTCATGCAGCTGGAAATGCAATACGGCAGACACACACAGCAGTACAGCCTGTAATAAAACGATAGAACCGAATAAATGAGTCATTGATAAGTGAAATCCACACTAAAAACCATAAGATTATCTTTTTTTCACATTAAAATAAAATCTTGAGTTAATGCTTAAAATATACTACTTTCAATAAAGTTGTTTAAATATTCTTACTCCAAGGTACTTATTAGAATATATCGTTTGTTCTTAAGTCATTAAATACAGCATTGATAAGCACTTAAATATAGAATATAAGTTAATTCCTGGCATAGATTAAAGGAAATATAAAAATAGTGCGGGTCATTAGTAAATACAATGCCAAATATAGAATATCCACTTTCGAAACCGATAACTAATTTCTTTATAAGTGGCAACCTGTTAAATAGATGTTAATCTAGGTCATTTATACGATAAAATTTCAAAATAATAAAGATTACATATTGATTTTATGAGCCACATTTGCAGAATTATTTGATGTCTGCTTTATTTTTGGACAACCATGAATATTCAATTGGGGCAGTGGTTGCTTAATTATGAAGCCTAATTGCCTACCACGCAATTTTATCTTTTCTGTATACTTACAGAAAAAAGTTGAAGTTAGCTCACTTTGTTGATAAGCATAAATATCGAAATATGTCAAACCGAATGGTTCATTCTTTATGCTGCTTTTGCTATGCTATTCATGTTCTCCACATATGGATGAGATTTCAATACGGATTGCATTGCAAGATTGACCAATACCTAGTTTTATCTACTTCATCCGTTTACTTACTGGAACAGGCACAACAACAGGGCGATCAGATGGGTGCGCGAGTTGGGCTTGTAGGAGACCCGTGTCCTGGCGTAATTGTGGCAATGCGGGCACTGGACATCCATGGGTTCCGGGCCGTAGGGCGATGTGGGCACCACCACGACCGTGTGGTGGGTGGTGGTGGTGGTTGCTGGCTTCGGATCGGCTGTTCCTGGTGCCGTGGTCTCCGCCGAAATCGATGTGGCCTGGTCGTAACTGGGCGGCGCCGGCGGCAGGAGCTGCTGGTGCTCGGCAGGAGCCGCCTGCAACTCGGCGGATCCCTTGGGCGCCTCCAAAGGTGCAGCCGGATAAACGGGCTCCATATTATGGCCTTTCTGGGTGTGTGAATCGCTGGAAAATGACTCAAGGGAGCGCCGTGGAAAAAAGTGGCTCGTATCGCGTATTCTTATCAAGTAAAGCCAAAAGCTCGCCGGACCGATTGTTTACCCTGTTGGGGGAATTTCATCGTCTGTCGACACCTTAGCAAAAATGTTCGAATTCTCAATGAGTTGCGGGTGATTGTGTGTAGAGGGTGTGATCGGTTCGATTTGGTTCGATTTGTTTGGTTCTGTTTATTTTTCTCTTGGGGATTACTAATCGCTGTTGTAGACGCCGACGAACTTGTTGCAATTGCCGCAGAAGTGATTTGCATTCATGCAGCTGGTGGCGCAATAGGGCAGACATGCGCAGCACCAGAGTCTGTTTGAGATTTTCCATTGAAGATTAGATAAGGGGGAGAGTAGTATAAGGAGCTCCGGAGATCTTACCCAACGATGCAGAGAATGGCGGCAATGACGTGTGTTTTCACACTGGGCGAGTACTCCACGCGGGTCAGTTTCTGGACATGGCAGTGCGGGCATGTGATGAAGCTGGGGTCGGGACCAACGGGCAATACGGCTTGATCTGTGGATTAGTAGAACCTGTATGCATATAGCACCTATTATACTTTGTGGAATTAAAAAACCCACGCTGTATGATCACCACGGGCGGAGGTGCTGCTGCATGAACCAGTCGCACTGGCGCCTGTATGTGAACCACCTGCTCGTAACTCGGTGGTGGCATCTGATGTGGATACCCAGTGGCTCCCGCCGGTGGTTGGTTGTACTGCATCTTCGTTTGGGATCCAATCACGAACTAAAACTGAGGCCAAGACTCGCGCTTCGTCATTCTGCTGCTGTTGCACAACTTTGCTGCCGTGTGTTGCTGGCAACAATGCCTACGAAAGCTCTATTTTTTAGCTTTTTATCTTGTTTGCTTGTAATTATTATATCTACAGCCAAACAACTTAATTTGTTAAAAGCGAAAGTGCTTTCTACACCGTAAACAAATTTGTTGGAATTAAAGGGACTTAATACGGACCCACATCTTTGGGTCAAGATATAAAACTTGGAGGAAAAACATAATCTTCTTAGGGGCAGACCTTTATTATGTTATTTTAATTTTGGCGATTTGCTGGTCCAAAGTTTTTGTTTAGATTGCTTTGGGAACGTCTTTAGACCGTCATTAAAAGAGCAAAAAGTTGTAAGCGCAAAAAATTAAATGCCCATAAGCAAAAAAGGTAAAAAACGCAAAAGCGGAAAATGTCCCAGTATTAAATAAATATTTTTGTTTGATTACAATAGGTTTCCCATATTTATTTTTATGAACACATAGCACAACTTATGCAATGGGAAATTTTAATGACATACCCAGCAATAAATACAAAGTCTTGATAAGAATGATTAGCTATGTTTATATATAGGAATGCAAGTTCAAGTTTTACAAATTATTTTAGTCAACTTATAAATGAAACGGATCATACAAACAATATATCAGAAAATGACTAAATTTCTCACATTAAGTGAGTCAATTATTTAACATCTCATAAGTCTTTACTCTTTTATTATTTGTATCCACATCTCTAATGCATCTACTAAGTCCTTGGTTTTCCACAGCAACAACAAGAGCTGTAATATATGTAGAAAAATACAATTTAAAATTTAATTAAAGGCTACCTTTGACTTGGAACCTACCGCATATTGAACCAAAATCTCTGTCTCCAAGATAAATGTAAATCATCAGAGTTGATAGATCCCTTAGACGACTGTCTCCTTTTGGGATTCTCTACCGACAAACTTCTATAAACCTCCGACGACCGCTTTTTGCATTTTGGTCTGCTTCTGAACGACATCTTTTCGAAACTAAGCTTCAGATTTCAGATCGAGACTTTCCTCCCGAACTCTAAGAACAAATGCAAGCATAGCTGATAAGGCTCGACTGTTATCAATTATTTTGTAGTCATATATTTTTTGTTTTCCAACGAAACGTTGGCAATGAAATCGAGAGGGCGGACTAATTACAAATTATTGATGCCTATAATTTCACAATACTGAGAAAAAGACAGCACGAATTTTAATACTATTAAATAAATCACTTATAAGTTTAAAAAGGTTGCTATATATATGTTATATTTATTGATTGAGAAATTGAGAAATACAAATTTAGTAGTTCGTTGTCATATTGACTTCTTAATAATCAAATTACCAAAGTCACTTTCTTTGTATTGATTTATAATCCATAAATAAAATAGAAAGACCGGAAATACTAAGTCATACTCAGGTTTCATTACAAGTACAAATAAAAGGTAAGGTCTTAATAATAGAAAGGAAATCAAGCGATTTCTGCCAGCCGAGGTTACGCTGACTAAAATATATTACCAATGCATAAAAGTAGACAACTATTTTTGCGAACTGAGTGCCGTATACTTAATATTTTAAGCACGCAAGTTAGACTTTATTAAATTGTTTTCTTTGTCTCTGCGTCATTTTTGTGGATCGGCCACATTTGTATAAATTTGAGCCAAAAAGGTTATGTTAAACTTTTAAAACCAAACGGGTTCTTATCTGCTTATCTTTTATGATTTTTCGTATACACAGAAAACATTTTGTTGGTTAATGAGCCAACTTTTACAGTACATTTTCCGTTATTTGTTCTGTATTGAAAGTTGAATTCACCAGAAAAATGTTGACTATTGTCTAGGTATTTTGTTGTTGAAATTATATTTAGTTGTTGTTTTACTTGTTTAATAAACCATCTGTATAAGCGATAATTTTACAATATTTTTCGTATAAATTAAAATTATGGTACAGCATTTTAAACGGATTATTATTTTTTTTGGTTTTGTGGTTACATTTACCTATCAGTAAATTCAACCAACTATTATCGGTTAAAACTGTTAAACTTCTTGATTACACTAAGATTTTTCCTTTGCTGTAAGGATAGATTCTGAAGAGAAATTGATTATAAATAAGATGAAATAAATTAATGGGTGCGAAAAATAAACCAAACAGAAGTATGTATACTTTTGTGCAAATGTTTATGTAAAAAATAAACATTTAAAAATTCAGATTTGATTTTTTTATATTGCTTTGTGAGAAAAAAAATGTTTTTCCGTGTGTCAGTGAAGCGTGACTCGTGTAAATAATTTCACATTATTGATGCGACACAGAAAATTAATAAATTTGTATATATTTTATATTAATATATTTTGTGGAGTAAGAATTGGCAGTCCCAAAATTAAATCCCCAATAAAAAGCTTTAAAATTTGTTAAATTTATAGCAATAACTTTAGATATTCTGATTATAATCAATCGCAAAATATTTTTGTTTTATTTTGTATAAGCTTACACTACGATTAATTTAATTATTTGTGTAATCAAATTAAAAATGCATTTATGAGGCATACTTTTAAGGTTGCATATTAGGAGTTTCTTGGATTTTTGGTTTTCGAGGAAGAGGCCTAGTTTTTGAAAGTTCCCACATAGGCTCCGCAGCTACTACAGGTGTGTTTGGCCGACTGACAGGAGTCCGTGCAGTACGGAATGCAGCAGCAGCAAATGCCCCTAAAAACAGGATTGTTAATATTGACAAGAGGATCAACCTTTAGTTGCTTACCCTATCAGGCAAATAAGAAGGGCTATTAAATGGGTCTTGGTACTCGGCTCAAATTCGATCTTCGTTTGTTTTCGGGCTCCGCAGCTCGGGCACGTGGCCATGGATGGAACATTCCCCAACACATTAGGAGGTGCTAAAAAGTAATTTTTTGTAAAAAGAAACGGTTATAAGTATTTTTTTTTAAATTATTTTCAGAACGAAAGCAACGCACGCTGAGATAATTTAATAAACCAATTTAACACTTAGGGAATTATGAAATTTGTAAACAATGAATTGGGGTTTTATATATAACAAAAATATATAACAAAAACAAATGTACGCCATTTTATTGCTTTTCAACATACATACCTACACATTGAAAAGCAAATATGTGTGCTATTTCGATAGACTTTTAGAAATCGTTCATATATACAATGCTTTGACCCTAAGAACTATGTTTTTTTCTGATTAGTAAGCATGAGAACGCTTACCCTGGATGAACTGAGGCTGAGCAACAATCAGCGGCTGCTGCTGGTTCAAATTTGGATAACCAGGCTGGGTGGTGTTATAACTGGGCGGTGCCTGGGCGTCGGGATAATTCTTCTCCATTCTATCGTTTTTTATTATTGCGACCGACGTCCTCCACCTTCCAATTCAGACACGAAACTAAATTGCGCCTCACTGAAAGAGCATAACATTTTTGGGGCTTTTTCCATTTCGGACCATCTGAGAGAGGCAAGCATTGATCTAGACCTTAAACCCTAGAACTTTTACGCACCAAATTCTGGCACTGGAGCGCAAAGCTATTTCAAGTGGAATGAGAGAGAGCAAATGTGCGTGTTTGCCACACATAGATACACATACATACATATGTACCTTTTCGAATTCTTTTATTAAAATAAACAAAAACTGAACAATAAAAGCAAAAGCTCGTTGCGTTGGTTATATAAGTTCGAAATTTTAACAAGATTCAAAGATACACAACAAAAAATTCATTCATTCGTGGAATTCTCTCACGAAAAAGGTACTTTTACGTTATACGTTAACGTAAGACTTCCAATCAAAACAGGTTATTTATCAAAAAAGTATATTGAAGTATATTGCTTTGATCATTAAAAAATTGGAACATTACTGAAAACGAGGACGGAAGCTAACTTCGGCAGGCCGAAGTTTTAATACCCTTGCAGACTTTGCCGAAATTGCTAAAAATGAAAAAGTAGCGAAAGGAATAAGGTATATTGTTCCTATGGGAGATATAGGATATAGACGTCCGATCGTCACGCACTTTTACCCTAATCAAGGTATGCATAAAAAAATACGATTTGGAAAGATTCATGTCAATTGCTTATATACTGTGTGAAATATCCTAAAAATCATTAAATTTTAACCGATTTCACCCTATTGTTCCTATAGGAGCTATAGGATATAGACGTCCGATCGCCAAGCGCTTTTACCCTGATCAAGGTATCCATACAAAAAATAAGATTTGGAAAGATTTATAATAAATAGAAATATCGTTCATTCTTGCAAGTTATATCCGATTGTTCCTATGGGAGCTATAGGATATAAACATCCGATCGGGGCGGTTTTCAAACTTGATCTGCGTACACATGTTTTAGGACGACTGTGAAAGTTTCAGATTGCTAGCTTTTAAACTGAGCTCGCAAACGGTATTGAAACAGGCGGACAGACGAACATGGCCATATCGAATCCTCTATTGTTCCTGATCGAGAATATATATACTTTATGGGGTCGGAAACGTCTCCTTCACTGCGTTCCAAACATCTGATCAAAATTATAATACCCTCTGCAAGGGTATACAAATAATAACGTTAAAACATTTACCAACTGTTACCAACTGTTGAATGAAAAAAGCTGACTTCTACGGGAAAATTAGTGAAAAAAGACAAATTCGAAAAAAACAATAGTTTACAGCGATATTTTCCATAACTATTAAGAGCACGTCCAATATTTTATCTACTTTCCCACATACTGATACATGTAATTCAGAACATCATAGTTTATGCATTTAAGCATTTATCAAGTCTGCATAGGGCATTTTGTACATATGTACATACATACATATGTATGAAATAGTAATCGATTGTTTTGGCGTATACAGCCTTACTACAAAAGCTTACTTCCTCTTCCTCTTTCCTCCAGGACCTTCCAAGAATATAAACGTCTCTCTCTGCAGTTGAAATCTACCAATGTGTTTTTATTTATTTAACCTTACTGACAAAGTATTTATTGGAACGTGGACTTGGAACTACAAATGGACTTCAGTGGGAAACGCTGCCAGCTTTAATTAGTTGGAGACTCCACTGATTAATCTGATTTATGTAGTTGTTGAGAGAGACAGACAGGGATGGCAGCAACGCAGCCGGATTGAGCTATTGTATTTATGATGAAATTAGCTAATTCCACTGAAAAGACAGATGGCGTTGATTTTAAATTAGATTCAGGGGCATCAGATCACCTAGTAAACGATATAACCTTATTTTCCGAGTATGAGACTTTAAATCCAAGTGTGGCGATTGAGATTGCAAAGCGTGGAGAATTTGTGAATGCTACTGCGAAAGGACTAGTTAGTCTTAATAGTTCGGGGAAAAACATTGCATTACAAAAGGTGCTGTATTGCAAGGAAATCCCGCACAATTTACTATCCGTGAAAAAGATGCTTTTTTGTTTGTATTCAAAGACTTTGTGGCGAAAAGTGAGGCTCATTTCAACTTAAAAATGGTAAATCTATATATTGATAATGGCAGGGAATATCTCTCTAATGAAATGCGTGAATTTTGTGTCGAAAAAGGTATTAGTTATCATTTAACGGTTCCGCATACCCCACAATTGAATGGTGTTGCAGAGCGGGTGATTAGAACAATCACCGAAAAAGCTCGCTCTATGATTAACTGTACTAAACTTAATAAAAGTTTTTGGGGTGAAGCTGTTTTAACAGCAACCTATTTAGCTAATTGGTCCCCAAGTAGAGCTTTGGAAAATATAAGAAAAACACCATATGAGATGTGGCATAAAAAGAAGCCAATATTTAAATATTTGAAAATATTTGGATCGACGGTATATGCACTAAATAAAGTGCGAAAATTTGATGAGAAATCGATCAAGACTATACTCGTCGGGTATGAGCCAAATGGCTATAAATTGTGCAATGCGGAATCGAGAAAATTTATGATAGCTAGAGATGTAGTGGTGGACGAAAAAAGCATAAAATCTATGACTTTAAATGAAAACAAGAAAGGAAAGCTAACTTCGGACGGAGCCGAAGTTGATATACCCTTGCAGAATATTCTGTAAATTATATTCTTCAAAATTATTCATATATTCATATATTCTTAATACTCATAAAAAGTCCTAACTTCCTAACTTTAAAAACACCAAAGTTATGGCATTTCCAATCGTTCAGTTATATGGCAGCTATAGGATATAGTCGGCCGATCCTTATGAAATTTGGTAGGTCGGATTGATTGGCCAAAAATAAAACCCATAGAAAATCCCAACTTGATAACTTTACAAACACCAAAGTTATGGCATTTCCGATCAATCAATTATATGGCGGCTATAGGATATAGTCGTCCGATCCTTATGAAATTCGGTAGGTCGGATTAATTGGCCAAAAATAAAACTCATAGCAAATCCCAACTTCCTAACTTTAAAAACACCAAAGTTATGGCATTTCCGATCGTTCAGTTATATGGCAGCTATATGATATAGTGGCCCGATCCGGCTCGTTCCGACTTATATACTACCTGCAATAGAAAGACAACTTTTGGGAAAGTTTCAAGCAGATAGCTTTAAAACTGAGGGACTAGTTTGCGTAGAAACGGACGGACGGACAGACGGACAGACGGACAGACGGACGGACAGACGGACAGACGGACGGACAGACGGACATGGCTAGATCGACTCTCCTGGTGATGCTGATCAAGAATATATATACTTTATAGGGTCGGAAATGTCTCCTTCACTGCGTTGCAAACTTTTGACTGAAATTATAATACCCTCTGCAAGGGTATAATGACTCTGTGGTAAAACATAATGATGTTAGCAGAAGTCAAGATTCCCCAAATGGAAGAGAATGAAGAGTCAGATTTTCCATTACTGGAAACGAATGAAAATAAGAATTAAATAAAAATTCCACTTGTCTCGAGAATACCGATCCAGTAGTTGAAACTGGTGATAATATACTAGAAAATGAAAATCAACAAGTCAGACGCAGTGAGAGGATTAAAGATAAGCCAAAATTATCATATATGTAGATTTTTAGAAAAATGTCTTATTAATACCCAATTGTGTTTAAGTGATATTCCCAATACATGTAGGAATTTGATTGGCTGTTTAATGTACATAATGTTGTGTACACCTCCGGACTTGAGTACATCAATAAGTATCTTAAGCCGGTATACTAATAATAATAACAAAGAATTATGGCAATGTCTTAAACGAGTTTTTATATACAGTGGCTCACAGCTTATTTGACCCACACCTAGTTTTCAACATTAAACAGGTATAACTCCTGAACCATAAGAGATACACATAAAAATAAAACGCAGAAAGGTTAACTGTTGTTTTAACTTCAAAAATATGTTTTCATTTATTTATTCTAGCAAGGAACTTCTTAATTAAACAATAAAAACTAAAAATACTGCCTTTTTCAATGTCACAGCTTATTTGACACAGTTCATCAAATTAATTATAAAAAATTTCAAAAAAAATATTTTTTTAACTTTCAGTTTTTGGTATGTCCGCCCTTTTGGTCCACAACCGACTTCAGTCCATTGGGAATAGATTCGACCAATTTTTTTGTAGTTACTGGGGTGATTTTAGCCCATTCTTCGAGCAAAGCCGTCTTCAAGTCATTTTTATTGGAAATATTGCGCTCCCGAATTTTTGAGTCCCGCAAAGCCCACAAATTCTCAATAACATTAAAATCGGGTGACTGACCTGGCGATTTCATTATATGGTGACAATTATAACCCAGCCAATATTGAACTATAACCGACTTTTGCTTTGGGTCATTGTCTTGGTAGAACCGAAAACCCTGTTTTATTCCCAATTTCTCAGCACTTTGGAGTAAATTATCCTTAAGGATATTAAGATAAACATTTTTATTCATTATGCTTTCAATAAATTTTAGGTTTCCGACTCTTGCTGCGGACTTACAGGCCCAAACCATAACGTGTCCGCCGTCATGCTTAACGGTGGGTTTTAGATGTTTGTCCTGCAGCTTTGTATTGGCTTTACGCCATAGCTAAGAACGTCCATCGGATCAAAAATATTAAATTTTGACTCATCAGCGAAAATGACCTAAAATTTATTGAAAGCACAATGGATAAAAATGTTTATCTTAATATCCTTAAGGATAATTTACTTCAAAGTGCTGAGAAATTGGGAATAAAACAGGGTTTTCGGTTCTACCAAGACAATGACCCAAAGCAAAAGTCGGGTATAGTTCAATATTGGCTGGGTTATAATTGTCCCCATATAAAGAAATCGCCAGCTCAGTCACCCGATTTTAATGTTATTGAGAATTTGTGGGCTTTGCTGGACTCAAAAATTCGGGAGCGCAATATTTCCAATAAAATGACTTGAAGACGGCTTTGCACGAAGAATGGGCTAAAATCACCCCAGAAACCACAAAAAA